TACCTTTTTTAGTAATCTTCTCACGTATAAAAGAGAATCTGTAAATCAGTGATGCATACTAGACGGGGCATATTTAACTTGTGAAGCCTGCGTTAGAAAAGGACCTTGTGTCAAGAAACTGAACTGTCAATCTCATATCAAGAATAAGGCTAGCATTGGTTCTCAGTTTTAGTTTTCAATAAAAGAGTTATCAGGAGAACCTTAAAACCTCCTGCCCATCCCTTACTCTGGACTAATTAAATGAGAATCTCTAGGGGTGAGAACCAAGAATCAATACTTTTAATACTTTCCAAATGGTACGAACGTACACTCAAGTTTGAGAATCATAACTTAAGGCAGTCATTTTCAAGCTTGAGCATACATCAGAATCTTCTGGAGGGCTTGTTAAAAGACGGATTGCTAGGATTCCCAGAATCTCTCATCCAGTAGGTCTCAGGTGGGGCCCAAGAATTTACATTTTTAACAAATTCCCATTTGATGCTGATCCTTTGTTACTAATCCAAGGACCACACTTTAAGAACCACTGATTTAAGAGAGCAACCATGCATATTTCATTTTGTATTATGTGCATTTTATGACATAATTGTGTTTACATATGCAAAACTAATTTGAAATGAAAGCAATTATCCATACAAATTTTCTTCCCATCTCCAAATTACAGCATTAAATATAAGGGTATTTTGTGATTAAACCTAATAATGTTTCAAACAACACATTTTTCCCTTAGACAATTTATAGCTAAAAAGAGTATAGTTGTTCATTTTAAACTTTAACAACTTTGGCTCATTCTTTCTCCAAATATCTCAACATAGCTTACATTTATTATGTTTTGATGAATATACTCTAATTGGTTACACCTAATTAGTTGAAAGGGTTTAACTTTGGAAATTACCTAAAATTTATTACCAGATTGAAAGATAATTAAATGGGGTAAAAATAAAAATTCACTAAAATTTTCCAAGTTCCCTTTTATGGATGATGATCTTTTAAATCAATGAAGATAGTAGAGTTGTGTCTCCTGTACTTATAATCTTGCTTGTAAGTGTGCTTGTAATCTTACTCCACACAAGGAAGGAGCAAAGAATATCAGAAAGAGAATTGGCAAGTGCCAGACACAAAGATGAGAGAGAGAGCACATGCGAGAGCACACGTGCTATCAAAAAAAGGAATTGTTACCCAGTTAAATAGCATTAAATTGTATTTAATATATTTTCATACTATGATGCTGATATCCTGGGATATTCTGAGCAGATTCCTTGGTGTATTCTTTATGTCACTCAAGTCCAAAACATAAGGGAGCTAAATATGTCAGTGGCAAGCCCAGACAAGGACAGAGACTTGTGAGTTGCCAGGCACCAGTTGGATTCTGACAAACAGACAAGTGAGAACAGGACACAGCTTCTTTCTTTTTCTTGAGGGCTGGAAGTCAGGGAAAACTTCTCTCAAAATGTGGCATTCAAGTGCCTGTGCAGAACAAGAGGGCTCCTAGGCAGAGAAAGGGGTGAGGTGACTTGCCCAGAAACATACAGCTAGTAAGTGGGAAAAAGAGGTCTCCTGACTCCCATTTTGCTGTTTCCTTTATTGATCTGTTAGTATCTTCCTGGAATTTCCAGAGAATAATTTGGATAGAACATGGATACAGCTAACCGTAATAAGGATCATATGGAACCATATTCTTCCATTTAAAAAAATTGAATGACTGCTATGTTCGAGACTCTGTGTTGGACGTTTAAAGACCCAGCATCTTTCGGCTAGACCACCTCTCCTTTAGGCCATTGGCCTCCCTGTCAGACAGGTCTGAAACTCCAGAATGGTCTGTGACTCCTCTATTGTCTCATTCTTCCCCTCTCTCCCACCATCATTATTCACTCACTATACATCTAGATTGTGGTAGCATCCTTTTAACTTGGCATCTGCCTCTAGGCTTGACAATGGGCACTAGGATTGCAATTTGTGGTTAATATAGGGTAGAATCTTGACTTGGAATTTAAGACTATTTCTGAAATGGGATTGATTTATTATTTTTTCTTTGTTTATTTTTAAATAAAGACACAAGTAAAAAACATCTGGGATCCTATCACCCAGAAATAACCAATACCAACCACTACCTGCAAT